CCAGAGGCACGCGTGAAGATCATAAACAGAAGGCGGTGGGCGGCTCCGATCTCACATGTGAGATCCGGCCATTAAGAAGGAGCCATCGCGGTCCGACTCTCAGTTCACCAGTCAGCCACTCAACACATAAACAGGCTGACTGCGTGGTCTGAGTTGACGATTCATTTGATAACCTTCCATGCCATGGATTTTAGCTTCCCGTGATAGTCTCGGGCCCGTCCTATTGTTTATAGTGAGGAAGTATGTGCTGAGTCGTTTTATCCCGTCCTGTGCACCTGCCCCCCTTCCGAGTCGGTCAACCAATAGATGTTAAGATTGGGAGCGGGGGCGTATACAGCAGACAACAGTTCATCCGCACGTGCCATACACACGACCCAATCCAATTACTCACACACCAGGATTTCACACGCACACACAAGGGTGCAGACTGCTCGGATGTCACATTTAGCAGAGAAGCCGCATGGAGAAAATAGTCGAAGAGCACACTTCTCACTTACATGAGAGGTGCCGGTGGTGTGGAATGTTAGCAATGCTCATGTTAATAGGGGTATGTGTGGAGATGTGGTCAAGTCTGCGGTCATTTATCACAGGCTTTCAAAAAGACACAGGTACCTGAACATGCTGATGCGAGAGGTGAATTTGTGGTGACAGTGTGGGCAGGACGGGTTGGCAGATGTTAAGTCGCTTGCCGTTGTGGTCCTGCTAGTGCTGGTCGTGCTGATGGATGGGGAGTTGATCGGGCTGCGGATGGGAGAGTTGAAGGATGTGCATGTAGTGTTATGTGTGTCGATAGTGCGATTGATTTCGCACTAATATGCATGTAGCTGAATGTGCCCATGCGACGAATAAGTGTGCGCGGCCAGTGAAATCTAGTGCAGCGAGTGTATGTGGGGGGTTCTGGTACTGGCGCGCCGGTCGCAGTGTAATGGATTCGCGAGTGACCGATCAAACCTATGTGTGAGGTGAATGTGCGATCGCAATGAGTGCAGGTTTGGACCGAGTCATACATCGATGGAAGTGAGGGTGGTGCTGGTGAGGGTGATGGCTGACTGGTCGTCGGGACCGCCTTAGTTGGTGGCGGGAGCGGGGGCCGATTCGCGCGCGGAATGTTCGTTGACAATGGGGGCATTGCCAATAAAAGCAAAGACAGGAGTCCCAGTAAGCAGTTTTGAAGAAGGCGACAAGATCGCTGAGACAAGAGCTTCATTAGCCTGACGTTTCGGATTCCCGCTCGAACCCGTCATCAGAGACAAAAGCAGATAGGGGTGGTTCATGCACAAGGGGTTACAGTATTTACAGAATGCAGTCGCCATGCTACGCATACCTATGAATATTCACGGCTCCCCCCGCCCCTACCCCTCTTCATCAGGAGTTGTTGCACTTGGTGTGCAGACTGTTTGATGGCCGATATTCGCGTCGTCAATTGCTGCAATTTCATCACGTGCGTTGGATGTTGACGTGACGATCGCTCGAGTGATTAAAAAACGCGATATGCGGACGGGTTTCAGAGTGCTGAATAGTAACTGGTCGAACATTTTCATGAGAGCCGCGATGGCTTCTGGGACGATTCTTGTGTCTAACTTTTTTGAAATTATGTTTGATTGATACTTCCAATCACCGAGAGACCCGGAGAATGTCATTAAGTAAGTCGGTCAAGGGAGAAAGTTCGTCAAATAATAAGTGTTTATAGTTTCTCGCATTGAAAATTTCACCCAGCTCACCCGAAATTTAGTTAGTTATTTAGTATAGTTAGTTCCTGACCGCTGCGTCAGGAACTTAAGACGCCACTTAACCAGTCCGTACGTTGGAGTACCTTTGAGCGACACGATGGGTTGGAGAGTAACGCCTTCTTTGTGCACCTTAGGAAGGCCACAGCATCGGGCCAAAGCCGTATCTTGGGGTCTCGCCATGAGTCTGTCGATCTGTGTTATTGTACCTGAGTTCTGCGAACGATAAACGCATTGTGAGACCCCAAGACACGGCTTCGGCCCGATTCTATGGCCTCCCTAAGGTGCACAAAGAAGGCGCTACTCTCCAACCCATCGTGTCGCTCAAATGGACTCCAACGTACGGATTGGCCAAGTGACTGTTCCGGCGTCTCAAGTTCCTGACCGCTGAGTCAGATACCACGATCTCTTCGTCAGCACAATTCCTGGAGAAACTCAAAGGGGTCAACCTCCATCCAAATGAGGTCATGGTATCCTTTGATGTTACATCCTTTTTTACTTCTACTCCCAAGGACCTGGTGATCGAGACAATCGAGCTGCTACTCCAAAGCAAATGCGATGAAACGGAGAATCGTCTTGGACGCGCCCAAGTCCTTCATCGCCTGAAGCTCTGTCTCAGGACGTACTTCACGCTCGACGGGAAAATCTACAAACAGGGGAAGGGCACACCAATGGGTTCGCCCATTTCGGGATTCATCGTCGAGGCGGTCCTGCAACGGTTAGAGTCGCTGGTCTTCCAACACCACAGACCGAAGTTCTGGGTCCGGTATGAGGATGATACCTTCGTCGTTCTCGACCGGGATCGACTGCTGACATTTAAGGAACATCTGAATGCGGTCTTCCCGGAGATACAATTTACGATGAAGGAGGAAGAGAACAACCAGCTGGCCTTCCTGGATGTCCACGTATGCCGCAAAGATTGTGGTGGACTAAAGACCAAAGTGTTCAGGAAAGCGACAAATACGATGCAAGTACTGAACTTCAACAACAACCACCCAATCAGCCACAAACGCAGTTGTGTAAGGAGGCTCTATCGGCGTGTCGAAACGCACTGTAGTGAGCCGGAAGACAAGATTGTCGAACTACAATACCTCCGACGGATATTCAAAGCCAATGGCTACTCGCGCAACTTCGTCAGCCGATGCATACGCAAAAGGGACGAAAGGCCTAACCACACGGACACCAAATCTTGGCGAGCGCTTCCGTATGTCAAGAACGTTTCGGAAGCTGTCGGTCACCTTCTCGCACCACTTGGGTTTGGAATTGCACACAGACCGGAGGCAACCATCCGGCATCAGGTAATGAAACCGAAAGGCCCGCTGCTACGGCTAGAAACATCAAGAGTCGTCTATCGGATCTGGTGCAGTTACGGACAGATCAACTACGTCGGAGAAACCGAAAGACAACTCCGAAAGCGAATGGCCGAACACGCTGCAGCGGTGCGGAGAAATGACGCCAGCTCTCAAATTGTGGCTCATTGGACGAGATCCGGCCGCACATTCAAATTCGGCGAGGCCGAAATTGTTGCAAGAGGTGACAATTGCGTGAGCCGGGAGCTGCTTGAATCATGGTTTACAGACCCCCAGTCCACAAACAAGTGCAATGACCTTTCCCTTCCATACTCCGTGCTAAGACTTCGCCTAGGCGGAGTAATTAGCCAAGCGGGAAACGCACAGGTGATCACTTTTCCCAACTCCAGGGTCGGTGGGTCAGGTGGTCGAGCGATCATCACACCAGCATCCAACGCACGTGATGAAATTGCAGCAATTGACGACGCGAATATCGTCCATCAAACAGTCAGCACACCAAGTGCAACGATCCCTGATGAAGAGGGGTAGGGGCGGGCGGAGCCGTGAATATTCATAGGTATGCGGTAGCATGGTGACTTCATCCTATAAATACTGCAGCCCCTAGTGCATGAACCACCCCTATCTGCTTTTGTCTCTGATGACGGGTTCGAGCGGGAATCCGAAACGTCAGGCTAATAACGCTCTTGTCTCAGCGATTCTGTCTCCTACAAGACATTTTGTCATGTTGGAAGGTGTTGGATGTTGGAGTCAGGGGTTAAGCGCGTCTGAGACTTTAGATCTTCTCTTTTTGTTTTAATTGTGACGATCCGATCGGCTCCATAAATTGCTGTTCCAGTCTTCACTGCTCTTCTTTAGGCCGGTCACTTCTGTGCGAGGTCTTTCCAGGACCTCGGGTTGCTTTATAATCGCTTCAGAGAATTCTCCGAAGTGTCCTTAAGGGGCAGGTTTGACCTCCCTGTCGACGAGTACCTGTTGCGAGATCTCCAAATGAACTCGTTTTGGTATTTTGTCGCCATCCATCTTCACGAGGTTGGTGCGCCATCGTAATTGCATTTGCCTTAGTATGACGTGTATGCTGAGGATTCCGGTTCGCTCCAGAAATTCCCTGTCGGGGAACCTATCATGCCACCTCTACTTTAGTGTCTGCCCGAGACAGTTGAGGTGGAACTGATGGAATTTTCGCGTTTGTTTCTTACAGTCTGTGCAGGTCTCTTCACCATTCAACAGCGTCGTCAAGATGACAGCTTTGCACATCTTAAGTTTGAGGTTGAGGCAGAGACCGTGGCGATCCCATACGGAGTTTTGCGGACGTCCAAAAACCTGACTGGCTTTAGAGAACCATAGATCCGTGACAGCGTGCTGCCTAAGTAGCGCCCCCTACCATAGGCACAGTTTCCCCACAGTCTTAATTTTGGTGCCGTTAACGTGGATGCGAGAAACATTTTATGCAGCGTTGGTCGACAGTGGATGCAAGGCCGCCGTTTTGTCCCTGTTGCTGGTCAGTCGGAGGCGAAGAGGTCCATGCTCCGTTGCATGCCTGCTTTTGTCGCGGGCCGCCCTGTATCCGTCGGTTAGACAGTCAGTGTAGGCTTTGTGCAGTCCGTTCTTTTCGGCGAGTGGTTTGTGATGTCAGCGTCGTTGTTGTCAAACCAGTTGTGGTATTGACGATGTGCCCATTCGGTGACTCCCAAGACAATGTATTGAATAGCATTCCGTATTTGACACCACCGAGCTTCTAAGGCAGCGCTATCGCTCGGAGCCGGCAGTTTACCGAGGCATTGTGTCAACTGATAACTAAAAAGCAAATTTCCACAAAAATGCACTTTACATACTTGTTGATCTCCTGCGAGGTTTCAGTCGGACCTCATTTTGGGAAGGTCGAAGCGCTAATTTTCCCACCCATTGGAGTCGAGGATGACCTTCATCAACAGCGTGCAGTGTAGGTCTTGTCCCCGGACGAGAACGTAGTCCAGCAGCTGCCAGTGCTGCGATCGCGGTGCACCCAGGTCGTCTTTTTTCACGCCAGAATGCAGAAGAAGTTGTTGTCAAAAGGAGATGTTCTGTGCATCCGCAGGTGGAGCCTATCTCATGGAACTCAGCACTCCACTCCAAGCAGCCTGGCCTGTCCCGACACAGGCAATGAAGTCACCAAGAGCAATCAGCTTATCCGCCTTCGTCACGGTCGGTAGAAGAGCGTGCAGGTCTTCGTAGAACTTGCTTTTCAGCTCGTCGTAGCTGGTCATTGGGGGAGCGTGCATACTGGCGGAGATATTAAGTTTGGCTGTCTGACGAGGCAGGCGCAAGCTCATGAGGTGGTTACTGACGCACTGCAGCATACTGAGAAAGATATAGATATATATACGCTTTATTTTAAAATGATTCTTCCAAAATGAAGCGTAGACTCGAGTAAACTTACCCTACGTCTACCTCACTCTCTCCTCTTACCCCACTTGGATCCGGTTGCATGACAAAGTTAACAAGACCGGAGGCAGGAGAGGACGCAGGCGGCTGGCGCGGCCGGACCCGCACCCAGGTCCACCGCCACTCTCTGGTTCCCAACAAACTCTCGACCGGGATTTTAACTAACAACAACACAAAAACGGGTCAGGAATAAGAGGATGACTGGACAGCTAGGCTCACGACCTGTATACACAGCGGCAGCGCAAGTACATCTACCGACAGGGAACTAGGTGCGGGAGAACTGCCAGCACACCATAGACTGAGAGAGCCACGGTTTGCTGAATCATGGGATAGCAGACGCTCACATGCATGCACACGCTGACATACATGCACCATTGTTACATACACCGCCATAATTTTGACCAAATAACACTGGCACCCCCTTGTAGTTCTTGGCTGCAGAGGAGAAAAACTTCTGAGGATTATGTTGAGTTGATCCATGATTACTCAGGACGTAACCAAATGAAAGCTTCTCCCGATCAACGTCTTAGAATTATGACAACGGCACTTTGACGTTTTGTGTTGCCAAAGGATACATACCTCCAAGCCTAATTTAACAAGTTGGAGTCAGCCTAGGTCGAAAAACAGCCTTTTATAGCCACCATCTCTTTTGTCAGGTGCTCCAGGAATCCAGTCAAAGCGTCGAGAATTTCATTGTGGATCGGACTCTTGTCATTCAGAACTGCCAGTTTAGACATCAGCGGAGACAGGTTCCGGGATGCGGTGCTCATTCATCAATTACTTGTTGGTCTGCGCACTGAGGAAGCGCGTGAAAACCTCCTATCAGGGCAGAGTTTCTTGTCGTGGGAGAAAGCCCGCGATATTTCCCGTCATTATGAGCGCCTACCAAAAGACCTTTGTCAGCTGAGTCGATCAACCGATGGAGTGTTATCATCCCTATGACGTGAATTAGCGGTCTCCCTGTCAACATTGTCTGATTTTCTTCGAGGCAGCAGCCAGCGGATCCATCGAAACAACAGCCACGTCGCTACTATTGTGGTCAGCACCTAATACGATAGTCAGATTGTCAACTTCAAAAAACAGTTTGCTGATTTTGCATGCAAATAGGTCACATCAAACACGCAAATTCCCCCAAAAGGCAGAAAAGTACTAAGGCTACAGTCCCGTACTCTAGTGAAGTTTGTGAAAAAGAGACGATATTTCGAATGCTCCCCGCCGACACCCCGTTTTCATCACCCTACACCATCGCACTTCCAACAGGTGGTCATCCCATAAATTTTGAAATTGACACTGGCTTACCTGTTACTCTCATAAACAAGGTCTCTGTTCAGAAACTTCTAAGTTTCCTTCCAACTCACCCGACCTTTAGCAAGCATACCGCGCAGAGCGTAGAATTCAGGGGGTCCTTGTGGCCGAAGAGGAACATGTTAGATAATTCTGTCACTTGTCGGTCCAAATGATCAGAGAAGCCAACAATAGGATTTTCTCGGGCGGAACTGGCTCAGGCGCATATACTCTGTGCGTTCCCATATAAATCAGATTGATATTAAGTTGACCATAGATTCCTTGTTGGCAAATCAAAAAGAACTCTTTCCTGACGATTATTCTGCTCACTACTACGGCCACTTTGTGAAGTAGGAACTTAAGTCAGATTTTCAACCCTGCTTCTTTAAAGTCCATTGAGTCCCTTTTACGATCGTTCCGCTGATAGAAGAAGAATTGAACTGTTTACAAAAACTGTGCTATATTGAGCATAAACAACCTCCATTTATCATTATTCATAAAGCAGATTTCTTCATGCTTATCTGCGGCGCCTACAAGTCGATGGCCAAACCGAAGTAAACCCTTATTCCCTTCCAAACATCGAGGATATGTATATGCATCACTTTCTAGTGTTTGGTAATTTTCAACTTTAGGCTTGAATCATGTTTAACACAAAGTTGTCCGAGGTCCAAACTCCAGACACGCTACCGAAATCCGTATACACTAGGTATTGTTTATTTCTGCTCGATTTACATCATCGTTCATGACAACCTACGTTTTTTGCATATATTGACGGTATATTAGAGACTGGGGCACTCTCAAATGGTCACATGGAGATGCTAAACACAGTGTTAATGAGTTTGGAAGAAGCTGGGATCAAACTCACGAGAGACAGAACGGTTTCCTTACCGAATAGACTGAAAGTTCAGACTTTAGTGTGGACGAGACGGTCTTCCATCTGTTCGAACACAAGGCAGAAGCTCAGAAGTCGGCATTGTCTCCAAGCAATGCTGGTAAATCGTGCTTGTTCCTTGTTTATTTACTCATCTTAGTTGCCTCAAGAAATAGTGAGCTGGCATTTTGAAACTCCACTACCTTTTGCTTAAAATAGTCGTCTCTGGAATAGTCAGAGGTCTAACAAAATGCTTTTGAACTGGTACAAACGGCCCTTAACCACTCCTCTGCTCTGATTTATTCTGACCCCGAAAACACTACCACACTGAAGTGCATTGCATCCCCGTACGGCGGGGGTTCGATCGTCATGCACTTAACGCCCTCTGGTGCTGAGAAGACAATTGCATTTCCAATCGGAACAATGCCCCAGGCGAAAACCAACTATTCAGTATTGTATAGAGAATTTGGCCATAGTGCCTGGTCTACAATGTTTCCACTTCTGTCTTTCAGACCGACCCTTCGAAATTCATACTGATCACAAACCCCTTGGGTTTTCTGGGTGAAAAAGGAGAGATGCAACAAAAATGGCAGTCACTCTTTCCGCCTACACATATGCATGAAACTACGATATGGGTAGCGTCGAGTAGCACAAACATAATAACTGAGGTCCTGAGTAGGTTCTGCATTAGCACCTGCTTTTGAGACCAATAATGTTTTGCAGAACATGGTCAGTACACCTGTAACCTACCAACGAATTAGACAGTGAAGATTAAGAGATCCTCTACTGACTTAAGCAAAAGACTCTTACAGTCTGTCCGGACGTCTTCTGTCTCTCCTGGTCTTCGATATTTCACAACCGTTAGAATGAATGACACTAAAAGAGAGGTGCGTACCGCGAGGCAATCATGCAGGTGTACCAGTGCAAGGTCGACAAACCACACTTAAATACTTACACACTGCTCGCCCCGTGCATTTATAATGAAAGCTCTCGCCCCCGGCTACGTTTAGTGGCCCAGAATTGTTGCAGATATAAAACTAATGGTAAAGGCATGTCAATGTGTCAACGAACAGGGAAAATTATACCTGAGGTGTCCCTGGAGCCACGAGGCTGGCCTGACTAACGTGGTAGAGGCTACGCATCGACTATTTTCGGACATTTCAAATCTAGACGATCGTGGTGGTGGTGGTGGTGGTGGTGGTGGTGGT